CGCACAACCGCTGCCATTTTGGGGACATAACTGAACAGTAGAAACTTTAGACATTAGAACTAAACGGCCTTGGCCATGTTTAGTACGCTCTACAGGGATTTCAGAATTGAATCATGCATTGGCTGTGTTGCTTCTACATGTCAGTACATGTCAGGAGCACGTTCTATTGTTTTTCAATATATTTTGAAGTAAACATATCGATACATTCTGGTTTTGAGGCCAGTGCAACCAAGATTGCCTTTTGAACATAATTCAGTTTCGACATGACGGGTAGGATTCTTACCTGGTTGCTCCGAGTTCGCATGTCACTTTTGTGTAGGAAATCACCACGCCTGGCCTGGAGAACGGGAACGTCTTTGCCGAAAGCTCAGCTCGTCCGGACGTGTGCAGAGCCGCGGCCCGATCCGCCCCATCCGCTCGGGCACCGCGTGTCGCCGGGCCCAGACCTGCAGGTGACGACTCGACAGTCGCTGAGCCGTCAAAAGCCACTTGGACGCGTGGAGCTGACTGAGCGCGGAAAGACGCGGGGTTAGCCGGTTGAGACTGTTAGGCTGTTTAGAAGTCCGGAGGTCATAGACCTAGATCTTCCAACTGTGAAGAATTTCTGCATTTCATCAATAACACCAGCCATTTCAGGGCAGAAATGTTGCACAGTTGGAAGATCCAGGTATTTCCTACCTACCTGGTGACAAACCCAAACGACTTCGACCAGTGCGGAGGCTTTCCCAAATCGTTGTAAAGAAACCAATCGCAAGAAAGCCATATTGCACATTATATACCTGGACCCTCCAAGGGGTGTCCAATGGAAGCCTATAGGTAGTGTGGGGTAGTCCATTGGACACCCCTTGGAGGGTCCAGGTATTGGCACAATCATTGTTTCTGGTTGTTTGGGTTTCCAGGTAGTCAGTGGATAACCTGCAAAACCTTTCTTGGGGATTGGAGAGGTGTCCCCCACCAAGCAAGAACAGGGTGGAACAAGAATTCTACGACGGCAAGGTACCTGAGTCTGAGTTTGTACCTCGGAAAAGGGTGACAAGTTGCACAAGTATGGACCAGTTGTTTAATCGTTTTTTGTTCGGGTCGTCCCATTTTGAAAGGTACAAACAAAGTCGGGTCCAGGAAAACGCCGTAAAGGAAGTTTCTGAACTCAGGTACCCCAGTCAAACCATTGTTTAAGTAGCTAATTAATTAGCCTTTCGTTCTCAAGGTTAGGTGGTCGTCAGAACCCATACAAGGCAGGGATGTGAAGACAGCCAGGGGCCGAGCAGGGTCAAGGGATGTCACGTTGATGCCGGGAAGTGAGAATTTCATTTGTTCATATCCTGCCCGGTTGGTCAGAAAAACAACGCTGGTTTCACCAAGTTTACCGAGAGCCGCCTCCCGTTCGCCTTCCTTTTATCTGAAAAAGACACTTTGTTGACCTGGTGTTGTAGTGTAAAGTGGTTGGTAGCTTATATTTTCTTGGACCCTCCAATGTACCTCGGAACATAAGGATATAAGTTGTATTAATAGTTGCCGAGAAGTTCGCTAAGTTCGACTTATGATCGATGTTGTAAGTCTGCTAACCTACTAGTAACCCTTGCTCTAATTCTGCTAACCTCTACGGAGGTTAGCTTCGACTTAGCTTGAACTTGGCTAACTCTATAGAGGTTATTAAGTGGTTAGGTCCCACTTGGCTAAGTCGATGTCAAGTCAAATAAGGTTAAGATAGATGTAGGTTAGACTTCGCAAGTCCAAGCTACGGCCCAGTTAATTTGTGAGAAACAAATTGTTTCACACAGAAGATTCATGAAGATGGTTGTATATACACTCTAAGAATTATTGTTAAATTGTTAGCAACAAATCTGACTGAATTATATCACAAGAAAATTTGTCAGAACATATTCTGACAAATATATATAATAAGTCCTTTAATAAGACTGCAAAGGATCTTTGTCAGAAAAGTTTCTGACACAAAATGCCAGCTTGACATCAAAAGTAAGAGGGACCTCAGATATCCCCTTTTAACAATTACAATGTAAAAGGGGAATTTGTCATAAAGCTTGTAATCACTTAATCTGTCACAAACATAGTCTGGCAAATCTTGTTCTAAAGCGAATGTGACATGTACGTTCCAACTTAATAACTTACATGGGCATGTTTGGTCCGAACTAAAGATGTACCCTGAATTTGACTTGTTTGACAAACGATCTGAAAGCGCAAACGTGTGGTCACCCAAAAGCAAACGTGATATGTTTTTGAGCTTAGTTCGGACTTAGTAAATCCGACCTAAGTCTGACCTAAGTCCAAGCGAAGTCTAATTTAAGTCTTCCTGGTTTCCAAGAGACACACAAACTCCCTGAATTCCCTGTGCCGTTGGTGTTTGTGCGGTGGAAGAGGCATGACTTGCCATAAAAATTGGCCTCACAAAGCATCAATATTAAAACCCGACCACGAGTCAATCGAGGGGCAGTGGATTTCACACCAAAAAAACAAACAATCTTATCCGTGTTTTTCCGGATAGACGTTCTTGCAAACAACGCACGGTTCAAAAACATACCTTGGAAGCGGGTGTGTGTTTTTTTTGGCAAAACGTGCTCACCTTTCCGATTCTTTCCTCCGAAGTACGGAGATACGGAATGATCTCCCGAGCGGAACTCAGGCGCGGCGTGTGCGAGGACCAGGAGATGCCTTGCGAGGGCGATGAGGTGCGGTCCCTGGCGGTCTCTCCGACGTGGTTCGGACGTGCGCGTGAAGGAAGCCATGCGTGGAGGTGGAGGTGGGACGGGAGGTGCGGTTCTTGGGATGGTTGAAGAACGGGGGTTCCACCGAATTTTTGTTGGATGACTCCAGTTTGGGATTCATGAATCATTTCTGGCGCATATTTGGGATCTTATTTGGGGGCTGACAGTTTTTGGAGACTGGGTGAGAGGAGTAGGTTGCTGGTGATCAAGTCGATGGTGATCAGTTCTTTACCTCTGATCCACTGCAACTGGGGTCGCATTGATCATGTCTCATCGACCACATACCCAGGAAAAGCGAAAAAGAACACGTGAACAACCTTGTCACCTTGTTTGGGCGATTTGGGCTCCTGGCCCACCTCCGTATCGCTGCTTGGGGTGGGGTGCCGGTCCAACTAGCTTCTGAGGATGTGGGCCAGGAGCTCCACATGAACAGGATAGGCCGTTCGACGCTTGCGGAACCGGTTTCGATCCACGAAACCAACAGAGCTCGCTGCAACTGGAGATCGAAACCGCTCCAGGACTTCGGGTCACGTCCGTTCTGGCTCGAACGACATCGGGTCTAGGTTGAGTCAGTTCATGTGATTTTTGGCCTTTGGAGGGTCGCAACAGTTGGTGCGGTACCTAAGGCACCAGTATCAACATATAATTCAACATTGACATGTTTGCCCTGCAAAATTTTGTGTTCCTTTCTCCAAAAACGCATTTCTTTTGAGAACCCTGTTCGTGGTCATGAGCCTTGGTATATTGACCTTCAGAATTCCGTGCGCTTAAGAGCACAGACATCGGGGCTCCTCGGTCGCAGAGTCGTCTTGAAAACATGTCCGCCACGTGCTCCAGGACTGCCATTCCCAGTTTGATGGTAAGCGCTCGGCCTCAGACGGAGCGAGTGACACCGCCGATACGTCTTGAGCTTGGCGAGAGCTGACGAGGGCAGTCCGCTGCAGAGGACAGCTCGCCGTCGAGCCCTCCTTACAGTACTGCGACTTCGAGCCTGAATTGAGATATGTTCACATCACAATCGTGAACTACGAGTCAATGGTAAACCCAAAAATCTCCTGGCGACCGAACACAGGCAATTTAATAGGCGATGTTAATTCAAAAGCAACAAAACCACATTTTTCAGTATATAGGTTTAATAAGTAAGTTATGGTCAATTACTTATATTTGGATCAAAAACCATTCAACACCTAACTGCTGTCTACCTGGGCCATATGTACGGTTCCTGTAGCGGTGAAGCCATGTGACCCATATGTGACCTTTTTTTGTGACGTCGCTGAAGAGTCCTTTGACTTCATGAGACTGAACAGAAACTGGAAATAGTATCTCAAAAGTACAAAGTACCTTTAAAACCTAATAGGCCTCCTACCTACTAGCGATGGCCTCCAACCTAAGAGCGATGGCCTCCAACCTAAGAGCCATGGCCTCCAACCTAAGAGCCATCCAACCTAAGAGCGATGGCCTGCGACAGTGGACAAGTGGCTATTGACTCCATAAACTCCCCTAGGCCGAGCTTCTTGCATCCAAATCGGGAGGTGTTATTCATCAAGAGTCTATGTGAGTCTGGTGTCTAGTATTTTTGGTCATCTGGTCATCTCTCATGTTCGTTCAGATCATCGGAGTATCGGACATCGAGTCCGACAGGCAGCATCGGTCTAGACTAGTCTTGGACTCCGATCGGTCAATCCCCAAGTGATCGGTCAAGATGCCCCTCTCACATACCCAGACACGACTAATCGGACTGGGAGCTGCCAGTCCGGACTGCCGAGAGTTCCGGCCAAGGGTGGTGGTGGTGGTCTTGGGGGGTCTGTCTGGGGCGGCAGTCCGGACTGGCAGTCCCAGACTCGTCGTGTCTGGGCATCGATCACATCTGAAATACGGACATGACGCGAACGGTTTCAGCAGAGTACTGTACTCCTCTCAGAGGTGCGAACAGGTCGACTCCAGGTACGAACCGGTATCTGCTGTGACGATCCCATAGGGTCCAGGATGGTCCAGGTACCTCCTTGTCGGATGGTCTTGGAGGTGAAAGTACTTCCTGAGAATGGTCGAACGGGGGGTCAAAGGACATCCGATTTGGATGGTCCTGGACCCTTAGGGGATGTGATCTTCCCCTAGGGATCCCAGTAAGTATACCTAACCTCAGGTACGGTGATGTGTTCGACACCGCGACATGTAGGTGCCGGCCAGTCGGGTCCAGATCTTTAGGGTTCGCTGAGTGGTCCGAGATGCGACTGAGATGCTCCCAGAAGGGCTTTTGCATCGAGCCATCTTGGTGTCCCATGGAGGCACATCGGGAAGGTTGCTGAGAGGTGCTTGTGACCGGAGTTGACAGGAGTTTCCAGATCAAAGGAGAGAGACAGGGGCTGGATTGTGCATATCTGTATAATTGGTTTTGGGGGGCTAAAGCAGGTTAGAATGGCGAGACCTAATAGCGGCTAACGATATAAGCAATGTCAAAACCAGCGATGACAATTTTGTGAAAGGAGTGAAGATGGCTCAGAGGGGACACGGGGCTTCCTTTAGACGTGAAGACTTGATGGTCTTTGGTTTTACAGTTTTTGGCCGACACTCATAGACCCTAGGGATCCAGTCGTACCTTCTCAGCAGGTGATTGGAGACACTGCTATGTAGGTTTGGAGGGTCCAAGTACCTTCTCAGAAGGTACTTGGAGCCCTAGGGAGATGAAGTTCCTGGTTCTGTTTATTGGACTTAATTTGTGGTGTGGGCCTTCACCTTCTCCTGCATCCTTGGAATTCCCATCATCCATCGACATGTTGCTGGTAAAGAGGTCAAGTTTCCACCCCATTGACCATTTAAAACCCTGGAGTCTATTTGTTCATACCTTCGCTCGTCGAGGCCCCACCTGAACAAGCGACCCGTTCCCCCCTGCCCCTCGAGCGGCATGAGTCACGGTCATCCCGAAGCCGGGCTCGAACGACCTCGCAAGAGTTCTCACGGACATTGGAACAGTCGTTGTTGTGAGCATGTCTTTGTACGACATAAAAAAACAGAGTCACAGAGTGCCATGACGTCAGGCCATGCAATTCTTAGCCATGCAATTCGAATTGACTTGACGCATTGGCCACTCTGCTTGGCGATTGGCATACCCAGGCTGGCCGTGAGCTGTGCATCCAAGTTGTAGCCGGGTGAGCCCGGGCATTTGCCACTCGGGTCACTGCGTAGAGTTGTTTCCACCTGGACCCTCCCGTCTATCGGTGTTCGTCCGGTGACCTAGACACCCAGACAGTAGAGAATGGTATATTTGCCGATCAGTTGGGGCGATTTGTGGGGTGCTTTGGAGTGCCCTAAGGATCAAGGACCCTCAAAGGTGAAGGTTTGGTTCGGGTCCAAACCCCTGCGTTCTGCAGGGTCAAAACCCTCCAGTTCGGAGGGTCCGATGATCCTTAGGGTGGTAAATATTCCTGACATGGACGTTTTTGTTGGGATTCGTTTCTGGTTCTTGGGCTTTCCAGTAAGGGTGACCACGGTTCTTCGGGCGATCCACGTTCTCCCTCAGAAAGCTTCGATCGCGGTGCGGGTAGCGGCACTTTCACGTGGAGCATGTGAAGCCCCCCGAAGCGGTGCTTTGCAGCATGTGAAGCCCGCAGGTTTCCTGCCTTTTCTGCTCTCACATATTAGGGTGATTGCACCTGTTGAAAAAGAGCTCAAACATAGCTGGTGTGCGAGTTAGCTCCACTAGTCAGCTTCTGAGGCATAGCTACTCTACATCCTAAAATATCCTAAGCATAACTTTTTCTCTCCCGTACACTCTTCGTCTCGTTCTCAGAATCCTTTCCTCGTCGCACCAACTATACACGCCTGAGCCCAAGTACTGGAAACTTTGTAGATGTAGGGATGAGCTGGCTGAGACTGCAAATGACCTGCCCTTCACCAGGATACTCTTCCACTAGCCGTGCCAGCCGGTGGAACGGATGACCTCCGAGGAGACTTGGCCTCTCCTTCAATGCGTGATTCATCACCTCTCGAGTTTTTCCTGCACGAGGCAGAATTCTTCAAATCCTTCAAACAGAAACTGCCAGGTCTTCTTTGGGCTGACCCAGGAGAAACATGATTGATCTTCACTGATCTTCAAAAATCATGATATCATGGGTCAAACTTCTTCCTGTTGACTGCTGTGCATCCGAACTCAGGAGGAGACCATGGTCAGTTCCTTCTCGGTGGAAAGTCCGCCGCACCACGGCCATCGTACGAAGGAACTCGTGCGCCCGTCGTGCGGAAGGCTGTGCCCGTTGCATAAGAAGAACGACGGAGCTATAGTCTGTGGAAGGGGAACGGCGGGGGCTCATTGATTGAGTCATAGTCACCATAGTCCAGTATCGATATATGGAATCTTGCATGAGATGCAGGTCAGAAGGGGAGTCGTGATGCCAGGGTTGAAAGCCAAGCTCTTGCTGTACAGTGACGGACACCCACTTAGAACATGATTATTTTTTTTGAAAAAGAAACAAGATGAGCCACAGATATGCCAACATTCTAAGTGTGCACTTAGAACATAGTCTGAAAATATATTCTGGCTATAATGCTAAGAACACTGGCTTCAGCGCTGGCTTTGAACAAAAACGTGTTTTGTGTTGACATGCTTTGAACATTCTATAATCTCTATAGTGAGCTGGCTTTCTTGTTATAAGCCTCAATGTTCTAAGTGCATTTGTTCAAGTCTAATTAGGGTGAAAACGTGTTAGAAAACTATGTTCAAAGTATATATCCGTTAGTCTATAGCCGTCTGCGGGAGGAAACGTCATAGTGCAAAGACAACACAATGCAACATTAATTACAGTGTTTTCAGAGTAGATGGCACAATCCCCAATTCAAAAGGTTGTATATATGGATCCCCATGTAAATGAAATTTTCTTGGTTTGTGCAATTGTTTTTTTGCATATATGTCTTTTCTTGGTTCCGTCCTATGACCTGTAACAGTCAGTAAGCAAGAACATCACTATACAGTATATAGAGAACGTCCTGTAACCTAACCGTCGTCATCATCATCCACTGTTACTCGCATAGATCCAATTCATTTCTGATCATCTTCCGTGTTTCTTCTTTTCCTCCCCGGAAAGCCAAAGAGCCTCATGAGAGGTTCCCTTTTTCCTTGGAAAACATGCTTTTTTGCAGCTCTCAAGGCACAAGCCGCCGCAGTGCCGACCGATTTGCGTCAGCGCCTCGTGGGTTTGGTCGACCTCACGTCTTGGTTTTCACAAAACTCGCATTCACAAGAACGTGATCCTTTTGGCGATGTCGTTTGTGTACTTGGGCAATTGGCAAGTCTATTACAGACAGCAACTGGTCATAAACAGTCCGTACCCTTTTGCTGATTGGTCGGTCATGTGTGACGGACAGGAGCGTTCAATCGACCTCTTGACTGAAACCTCGCGATCGCAACAGAGCTCTCAGGTGCCGGTGTTTTTGGTCATGGTGCTCTACACCCAGGCCTTTCTTTGCTTTTGGTCACTGCTTTGACGGAATACGATGCAAAGCAAGCAGAACTCGTGATCCGGGAACTCGTGAACCTCAAAGCATGATAGCTTTGTCTTGGAATCCATGTTCTCTTTTTTGTTTTCCATCTGTTCGATGTTTCTTGACTTAAAGTCGTGGTCATGTTTTGAAACCATGAGGCGGAGTTGCTTCTTTTGTGCGTGTTGGACGTGCACCTGGTGGAAGAACAACATGTGAAACAATGTGAGTCCAGCATCTCCACACTCCGCTCTGCTCCAACAGGAAAACGCGGAGTGTTTCAGAAACAGTTCAGGAAACAAAAACATTCCATGCAGATTTGTTGATCTATAGAAGAATGCATGGTATTTTCCCGGGATCAACATGGCCATTCTATCATGAAAGCATCTTGATAAAACCAACATATCCAGTTTTGTAGATGGTGTACATGGTTTACATGTTGGCAACTCCAAACAAGGAGCCTTCACTTCACTCAGCCGGATAGCTTGACCTCCTTGGACCCCCACAGACCAGACCGCCTTGTTCAGGTGCTCCATGGCCTGTGTGTGTTGCTACTGTTGATTGGTATCCAGGCCGCCACGCAGAACAGAGTGCGAGACGAAGTGAACAAAGGTAACCAGCTCTCCAACCTGCTAGCGATGGCCTCCAACCTACTAGCGATGGTGTCCAACCTACAAGAGAAAAGCAACCAAGGGTCTTGATTGATTCTGTTCCGAGGAAACCAGCTGCTCGTTTTGTTTGTTCTTTAAAGAGTCAAGAAGCAGAGGGAGGGGTTGATTGTGCCAGCGGATCTAAACCTGTGGTTTTCATGATTTTGAATGTAGAAAGCGTGAACTTCGTTCGTAAGCCTGTCATTTTGAAGTTGATGAACTAGACAGCTCGAGGATCGTTGAAGCAGAAAGTAGTTAACGTTGGTACTAGCATCATAGGATGGGGTGCTGGGTTTCACGTCATTTTGCATCTCCATGTCATGCGGGGTCTTATTTCCTCAGAGAAAGCACAAGAAGAGAGAGCAGAAACAAGCCACGAGACTTCTGTGGAGATGGCCGTCGTGTTCATATCATTCGCGAAATGCCCGGACGCTACCAGCTTCTTCAGTTCGTGACCTTTTGAAGGTTCCTAAGTGACCCAAACAGGAGGCTTGAGGCAGCGACCGAACCAACCAGGTGATCAAGTTCGGTCACGAACTGAAGAACCAGCTATACCTCATGACGTTCCGCTACCTGTACGCGGTTTCGCCTTCGCTCGCCTACGCTCCCTCTCCCTTTGGGATGCTCCGCTCCGCGTGCTCCGCCGTCGATCGGCCCGCGGTCTCGACGCGGCCGCCAGGTGCCGCACGACTATACTGGGACGCACCTCTTTCGCCTCGTGGGAGCCAGTGCCCGTGCGGCGAAGCGAACGGCGGTCGTTTGGACCGAGGGTGGTGGGCGGCGGTGCGAGAGGCGCGAGACGCATGGTACGCGGAGATCGCGGCCATGAGAAGGCCAGTTTCAAGCAATTGATATATGGTACAGAAAAGAACAGAACAGAACATTTGGTGGTAGCCTGTTCTGGAGAGTTCTGCGCATTTGAGAGTTTGAAAGGAAGCGCTTCACACTCCATCTCGAATTCGCGAGGTGGTCGGGAGACAAGGGTCCTTAATGTACAACTTGATCAAACAATCACATCAATATGTAAACGATTTTACACTCCAAATGGGTGGTATATTCATCAACATTCTACACATACCTGGAGTCGACCCGTTCGGTACCTACCCCCCACACAATGGGGCGCCCCGGCCCGTGGAAAGCTGCTTTTTGCTGCGGTCATGTGATGTGCCTTCGGTACTTTAAGTTGGGTCCTAGGTATTGACCCTAGGGATCCAAGTACCTTCTCAGAAGGTGATTGGAGACACTCTTATGTAGGTTTTGAGGGTCCAGTCGTACCTTCTGAGAAGGTACTTGGAGCCCTAGGGTGACTGAAGCTGGGTCAAGAAGAATGAGACTCTCCAATCGCCGCTTTCGAGCATCTCATCCCAGAACATCGGCGATGGTTCGTGTAATCTGTGAATCAGGATTTGCCACCACGGCGGCATCTCATCCTGTGATGGCCGAAGTCTCAGTGCTGAGAAAACTCCACTTGCGACAGTGCTGATAAAACCGGTGGCTTCAACGTTGAACAACTTGGACTACTGGTACCTTCGTGGTATCATTTGGATGTGCCTCAGGAACTCGCAGATAGTCTTAAGAAAACCACTTAGGCCATCTCTGATGGTTTTCCAAATAGTGAAAAGCAAAAAAAGCGAAACAAAAACAACTACAAAAAGCAAAAGCAGCAAAAAGCGAAGCCAAAAAGCAAAAAAAAACATGTCCAAAAAGCAAACACTAAGCAAATTAAAAAGCCAAAAGCAAAGCAAACAAAAAGAAAAAACATAAAAAAAAATATGAAAAAGCAAAAACACAAGAAGCGCAAACGAGCAAATTGAAAAAAAAAAAAAAACACATCTAAAAGGCGAAAAACAAGCGGAAAAAAATATTCAAAAAGCGAAAACAACTTTCCGTTTGGTTTTTGCTTCGTCCTTTTTCACTTTGTTGTTTTTGCTTTGGCTTTTTTTGATTTTTATTGTTTGCTTGTGCTTTTTCATTTGCATGTTTTTTGCTTGTTGTTTCTTTTTTTTGGCTTTTGCTTTTTCATTTGTGTTTTATTGCTTTTTTTGTGTGTTGTTTTTTTGTAGTTGTTTTGTTGCATAGTTTTTACATGTTTATTATGTTCAAGATTCACAGAGTTAGCCTGGGTCCGGCGATGTTAAAGATAGTCCTTTTGTATCCTTTTGTCCTTTCGCTAGTGGCTTTGGATGGTGCTAGAGCTGGAGGATTTCGAGTCATGGCTGCTATTTTGTGACCTCGCATTTGGATAGGGGAAGGAACTGAAAGGTCGAACACTGCAGATCTTTGGCCATGAGAACTACTGTATGACATGAACAGTTGGCTAAGCAGCTCATGACCAAATGGGAGGGTGTGAGATGTGGCTCATGTTTCCTCCACTGAGATGTGACGATGTACATCTATAGGACCCTTGTGACTGATCTAGCAGCATATCCGACAGGTGTGAGCTAGAAAACCATCCACCAAGAGTGTGACTTGGAGCGCACCTTCTCCACTCACTTGGGGTTCAAAACCACCTTCTCTGGGACCTTCTGGAGGAGGGGAGGCCCGGCAAGGCCCTGTTCCAAAAAGTAGGACACCCTTAAAGGGGTCCCGAAGTGTGCCCTGAAAGGTGCAAGTCACATGTGTTTTTTCCAAAGATCTCCGGCCCTCTATCGTTTTCGATCGCTGTGCCTCAGGATGATAGCATGCGTCCAGTGATGTTCTTGTCGAACCACAGGAGAGGGCGTTCTGGAAACAGCACGGATCCAACATGAAATAGTATAGGGGGGTGGGGCGGTGGAAGGGGGTTGCCTTGGAAGGTGACCCGGACCGCCAAATGGCCTATCCATCAAATCTCCATCCCCTAGGGAGCCAGTCGTACCTTCTCAGAAGGTACGACTGGACCCTCCTGGCACCTACATAAAAGTGTCTCCTTCTTACTTCACCGTACCTGAGAAGGTACAACTGGAATGTCTAGGAGTTTAGGGCATGGTACTGAGTCCGTTGGGACGGCGGACCTGAACGAAAACGCGGAATGTACGTGTTCTACGTACCGTACGAACTGGTCTTTTCCAGGTCGAACTGGCCATTTTCCGGCGGTCGAGGAAGACATGAACTAGCCATCATTTAGGCGGCTTTTTTAGGGCTCCTGGCATATCTCTCCTCAGGTTCGGTAGGATTGAACCCTCCTGGCCCCTCCCACCGAACTTGACACGAAGGGACCACGACTGGAGCCCAACGGTTCGGCATGGTTCAGCGAAAGACACCATGGTCAAAAGGGTCGTTTCAGAGGCTGCAAGCATAGACGCGGAAGACGAACGCCGTTACACGACGCCTAAGGGATAGGGATCCAGTCGTACCTTAGAATCCGCCTTAGAAGGTACGACTGGACCCTCCGAACCCACAGTGTCTCCAATCACCTTCTGAGAAGGTACTTGAAACCCTAGGGCCTAGGGTATAGAAAACGCGGGTTTCTTTTTGGGCTACCAGAACATGTGCCGGGAAATCTGCCTTGTCACAACAACCATGCCATCTTTGGGAAAAGACTCCATAAGATGCCGTAATGGTAAAAAGTGTCGTTAATATTATATGGTCTTCTGAACAAAGGCAAATTTGATTGTTCTGATATGTTCTGATATATTAGTCACATGACATGCGAGAAAAAAAGAAGGTCTATCGATGCCCCCTTTGGAGCACGGCTGACCTGGCCCACGCCGACGCCGCTGCCGCTTCTCGCGCTGCAGGAGTTGGGGAGACTTCGTGGCCGGGGGACGCAGAGGGTTCGCTTGGAGAGGACCAGCGTGGTGTTGGATTCGCCCGCCATTGCAGTTTGATGCTTCTCATTGAGGAAATCATGTTGTTTACTACCAGGGTCATCCTGTCTGGGTCTCCAATAGACTACCTTACCCTACGTAAACATGCAGGTCTCCAGACAGGGCACCCGGACAGGAAGTGCTAGGTAGGTCAACCATTTGTTCAATGCTCGAACGGAAGGTGGGAGGACACTCTGGGTTTTTACTCAGATGCCTTCGAGCCGAGGACCCCGAAGCCCCCCAAAAGACAAGTCAGATGCCATGTTTGTACCCATGGCAAGTTTTTGAAGTACGAGAAGAAACTCCAGGTAGAGAGGTTGAGCAGCCCTTTGCGCCCAGGCTTCCATATCCCCAGGCTTCCTGGCTCATGACTTGGTAGGCGGAATCCCGAATTGCCCTTTACCAAGGACTTTACACTCCAAAACCAGGTCGTTCCCATTGTTGAGAACGGAAAGTCGAAGGGGTGTATAGGTTCTAACCACATGGTTAGACCTGTGAGTTGTCCACGGGTCGACCGGTCGGTCCTGTCCAAAACACACCCTGAATTCGAAATGAAACACTTCACCGTGAACCACATGCGAAGCACAGCTCTGTTCCCTAGCTGGGTTGTATTTAAGATAAGATCATGTATAACCACTGCCCCTCAATACATAATATTACATACCTGTATGTACCATACAGTTCAATAGTTCATACTCTACCATGTCTGACCCAGGTCCGTCCCCATCCTTCTTTGGAAACCATTCTTAGCATATTTGAATGCTGCATGTCCCTAGCTCCTGAACTCCGAAGCTCTAGGAATAACGTCAAAACTTATAGACTCATCCTGGCCTGCTTTTGAGGCAGTTGAACTGTTGATATTGGATACATGTTGGTTTCAAAACTTGACTCACAAACCCCCATGAGTTGCGTCTCAATATGCATCATTCATGCACCAGCCATCACAAGAGAGCGGCAATGCTGTAAATTCATTGGCAACAAACTGCAGTGAACAGTTGAAAGTCAACAAGTACTGAATCATCCATCCACTCTTTTGTTTGAAACCAGGCTCCTGCTAGACTTGGAATCGATTGGATTGGAAGGGTGAAATCCAATCTCAACAAGTGCCTTCCCTAGTCCTACTTGCATATTGTCAATCTTGGATTATGTAGGATTATGATCTACCTTTCCTGTTTCAATCTAAAGTTTGATCTTCCTCAATACCACCCCGGAGTTCCGACATTCACAAGCCTTGTTTTCGTTGTTATTGCCATTCTGTGCTCCAAGGTTTGCTTTTGTTAATTTGTTGTTTTTGCTTTCATGGCCTCTATGTTGAATGTTTCCGATTGGATCCTGTTTGTTTCCCTACATACAATGGAATGGATCCCACCCTTTCCGGCTGCTGCTTCGCTGACTTACAGCCCTCCAAAACGCTGCTGAGCTACTGCTTTGGGATTTGAAACGGTTGAGGGGAAGGGGATCTTTGAGCTGGCAGCCATGGAAATCAATCGAACACGTCCATGGTCAACCGGTCAACCGGTCAACCAGTGTGACCTCAATGAAATTGATGAACTTATAGGAACATCACCGGGGCAGCGGTCATATACGCCTATATATAATGTATTTTTTTCACTTTGAGCCTCCTCCTCCTCCTCCTCCAAAGCAGCTACAGGGAATTATGAAACTGCCAAAGCTGGATATCACTACTATCATGTTTCACGATCGCTCGTGCATTAGGAACATTACTGCTCTGACTCTCCAATAGTGTGCTTCACTACCCCTCGCGAATGGGAACCTGACCACTCAGACCCCCTGATTTTTTGCTTCACCATTGCATGGGACTCATTAAGAATAATTTGCAATAATCATTGGTACCAAAATGTACCAAATATGGTGGTTTGAGATAAATGGTGATATAAGAGCATGCGTCTGTTCTGGCTGGACCAAACGGAAGCTGTAGATGATAAATGACATTTCATAGAACCTTCAACAGTGCTTTTATGATAGTTCTTGATCTAAGGAGGTGCGAAATGCAATGGCTCTTCCATCACTCACTACCGCTAGCGAGTGATCTAAGAGGAGTTTTTTCGCTGAATCACCTTCAATTTTGTCTATAACTTCCATGTTAAAACACAAAATCAACCCAGGCTCGTTGATTTTCAATGATCACCAGCCATGTGGTTCAATCCTGACCTCTTCAATTGTGAATTTCCGAAGTGCCCGTGGTCAACTTTTGCTCGAGCCTCTCAAGAATAACAAATACGGCCCTTTGACCCCTTCCTGTGTCCGGAATGGCTGACAAGCGCGAGCATGAGTTCAAAGGAGTTCACATTTACAAAATTTGGGGAAGGCACATGTTGAGCTTGGACTTCACCCTTCCAATCCAATCCATTCCAAGTCTAGCAGGAGCCTGGTTTCAAACAAAAGAGTGGATGGATGATTCAGTACTTGTCGACTTTCAACTGTTCACTGCAGTTTGTTGCCAAAGAATTTGCAGCATTGCCGCTCTCTTGTGATGGCCGGTGCATGAATGATGCATATTGAGACGCAACTCATGGGGGTTTGTGAGTCAAGTTTTGAAACCAACATGTATCCAATATCAATTGTTCAACTGCCTCAAAAGCAGGCCAGGATGAGTCTATAAGTTTTGACGTTATTCCTAGAGCTTCGGAGTTCAGGAGCTAGGGACATGCAGCATTCAAATATACTAAGAATGGTTTCCAAAGAAGGATGGGGACGGACCTGGGTCAGAAGTCAGACATGATGGTAGAGTATGAACTATTGAACTATATGGTAAATACATGTCAGCTGGGGCTCCAAGTAATTAACCTTCCTTTCGTTTCGGTGCGACTGGGTTTTTTGGAGGGTCCACATACCTTCCTCTCGTTTGTACGACAGGAGCCCCAAAAAGGCCTTTCAACAGCATGGTTTTGGTTGCTTCGTTCCGTCCGCTGCGGTGCCTTCTTCCTCGTAACGCCGCACGGTTCAGGTGGACTGCACACTGCTCGGCAGCCCTTCCTTTATCTCCCGAGCCTTGGTGCGGAACGACAACGGGGGAGGACGTCCGGGACGAGCAAGCTCTCTGGGTACTGGAATGATCAATGGAAGTGGATGGCACCAGCTGTTTGGTATTCAGAACGATCCGAACTCGGAACCATCCACGCAACCATGGATCTGTCAGGAAGAATTTTGAGTCTCACCCGGTCAAAGGTTTCTGATGGTCTTCAGGACACATAGATGTGTTTGCACACGCCACCGCCTACACCGCTGTTTGCTTCCTCCGGTCCGTATTTGTTGGTTGCACACCACACATGGCTGGCGTTCAGAAAAGACACACCATGTTCCAATCTGCGGAAGTGGCATGGCAACCAAACGACCGCGTGATGTCGTGCTGCGCAGCTGTGCACGCGCCTGCTCATCCCTCGCGCCAGGTGGCGCTGGGCATCCCCATGACAGCCGCGTGGGGCTTCCTCCGCGGCTGGATTTGGCCGCTGGGTCCTGGTGAGCGAAGATGATTCGGTTTGCTTCGCTATAGTAGCAATGGGTGCATCGCTACTAGTAACAACGGTGCCCAGTTGGGCGGTTTTTGAGAAGGATCCGCGTCATGTTGGTGTACCGTTTGCATTTTTCTGCGTCATATGTTGTTCGGTGAGAGGGGAAAAAGATCGACATGTTTTCATGTGTTTTCATATTCCCTAGGGATCCAAGTACCTTCTGAGAGGGTACTTGGACCCTCCAAACCTACATAGCGGTGTCTCCAATCACCTGCTGAGAAGGTACTTAGATCCCTATAGGGATTATGACATGACATGGCATGGTCAAGACGTTTTGGTGATTGTGACATACCGTCCACACCAGCAGCCCATCTTCTCAGACCATCCAAGTCCAAGCTCAGCTCCCGAGGTTCTTCCAGCGAGGAAAGAAGCGCAGCGAGGGGACGGTGGAGTGGACCGCCAGGCGTGTTCCTCCGTTCCTGGCCGGTGCGTACGGGGTGGTAAGATTGGTAAGGGGGGTCAAAGACCACCGAAGCTGAGGAACAAAGGGACAGGAGCCCTTTTTGGGGGGCATATAAGAAGTAAACCATCTCCATGAAGAGGATGTTCCAATGCGTCAAGGTGACCGGTCAGCTACGAACGATCCGTCGGGTACGGTCCCGGTGGTGTGTATATGACCGGAACGGACGACCGTGTCCCAGCGGTCCGTTGGGTTCGGACGACCGGACGCGACGACGGAGAAGAGGCTGTTGGCTGAAATGAGTTGGCCCTTGTTCAGAGCCATTCTGTGATTATGTCCATACACCTGGGTCTTCATAAGTATGCATTTGTTTCTGCCTTTTCAAAACACACCCGTGGGTCCAGGTATAGAATACCCTAAGGATCATTGGACCCTCCGAACTGGAGGGTGACCGGACCCTGCAGGTTCCGCAGGGGGCCCTTGGACCCGAACCAAACCTTCACCGAACTGAGGGTCCTTGATTCTTAGGGTAGATGGATTTGTCTTCTCCAAAACATGAGCAGCATATGTGGTTTGACAGGCGGCGGTTATGTACAAGTGGTGTTGAGACTAGCTCTTTGTAGCTGCGGGTTGCACCTCTGTTCTGATCACAAGTCAGCCTGGTTTGTAGCCAAGACCATCCATGAGGAAGAGTTATCCACATTTGGGTCAGACATGAGCGAATGAGCTCCTAAATATAGTTTTAAAAAATATCTAGATCTATAAAACCTATTCAATACTATTCCATACAGGCTAGAGACACCACTCCAATTTCCTGCAGAAGGGTGACCGTTGCGACTGCCGACTTCGGATGAAGCACGCGGGCATTTCTTGCTTCAGGTTCTGGGCGCAAAGCCAGGAGATCTACCCCGGGAAGGGAGTTGCTTGGTGCGAAGTGGGCATTGGGTGAGCGGACACAATATCGTTCAGTTCGACCATTAAGATTGGGAACTACCTGGTGGTGTAGTGGTTTTTACACGTAAAAAACACTATGGCAAAATGAATGGTTCGAACCTAGGATAACCTCGGTAAAGAAAATGAACACACAATTGGAAGTGCATGGTGTGGATGACTCGTTGGAGTCTCAGGTTACCCAGACACGACACGTCTGGGACTGCCAGTCCGGACTGCCGAGAGTTCCGGCCAGGGGTGGTTGACTGGGGGTCTGTCTGGGGCGGCAGTCCGGACTGGCAGTCCCATTCGTCCTGTTTGGGTAAGGTACATGGGACCTGAACCTCTTCAACGACGTCAGAGTATACGTATCCCAGACACTCCATGTATGCCATATATGCCTACATTGACCCCTAAAACCACCCCAATGTAGGTAAATATGCCATACATGGAGTGTCTGGGTATTAAGTACCCGTACAGACGCACTCCAGGTCGGTCGACTCCAGGTTGCTTGGTGCTCGGCCCAGCATGTGTTGGTCCTCCGAGTTGGTCCAGGGTCGGCTGGCCCACGTGTCCGAGTTCGGGTCGAGGTAGCTTCTGTTGCAAAAGAGGTTGAAGGACCTTAATAGACTATATCCCAGTTGGGTACCCCAGGTTACAGGTCCTAGTTCAGGTCACTGGCTACCTCTCCTTAATAGACTAGTTATCCCAGTGATATCCCAGACCGACCCTGGACCCAAATCCTCTCGAGGGGTCGAAAACCTGAGTCCTCCGGAGCCAATCACTAGGTGTTGAGGGACCAAAGGCTGTGAACGGAGCAGAGGACAATCGAGGGGGTGAACGGGTACGGTGGCAAAACTGACCCCTCTAGTATTCCCAAAAGGACGTCATGTGGGTGTGTCCCATCTGTAGCATTCGATAAACCATGATCACTGTTTGTGAGAAAGACCTTCAACCTCACATCATCATCTACCGTCACAGGCAATGGGATATACCCAAGACATCCCAACACATCATGATTTCGCGATCGTTGCCCTGACGCGCTCTTGAGCAACCTTCACGGGAGGTGGTCATGTACCCTGAGGGTACACGCTCAGTTTCCCTAGAGGCGTGGTCGCAGTCGTTGACAGACGGAAGTTCTTCAAGTGAACCCTCAAACCGACATATAGGTATCCCACACATAGACCTATGAACACCTGAGACTTCCTTGTACTAGCCTCCAACATAATAGCAATGGCCTCCAACCTACTAGCAATAGGCCTCCAACCTACTAGTGATGGCCTCCAACCTACTAGCGCTGGCCTCCAACCTACTAGCGATGGCCTCCAACCTACTAGCGATGGCCTCCAACCTACTAGCGATGGCATCCAACCTAATAGCCATGGCCTCCAACCTACTAGCGATGGCATCCAACCTACTAGCCATTCCAACCTACTAGCAATGGCCTCCAACCCAAATAGCAATGGCCTCCAACCTACTAGCGATGGCCTCTCACCCAATAGCAATGGCCTCCAACCTACTAGTGATGGCCTCCAACCTAATAACAATGGCCTCCAACCTACTAGCGATGGCCTCCACCCTACTATAGTGATGGCCTCCAACCTAGTAGCGATGGGCTCCAACCAAATAGCGATGACCTCCAACCTAATAGCAATGGCCTCCAACCTACTAGCGATGGCCTCCAACCTACTAGCGCTGGCCTCCAACCTAATATCGATGGCCTCCAACCTAATAGCGACGCACTCCAACCTACTAGCCAATTCTTTTTTTGGGGGGAAGTTGAGAGTGACCTTTGCTGCAGTTGTTCCAGTGAGGATTGATTTGGATCCCGCAGGCCCTAGATCAGCTAATGGTTTGGATCAGCTCCCCTGGCTCTCCTTCCCCCTGTGGCCACAAGCTATCAGAATAGAAAAGAATGCGTGTGTGTGTGTGTGTTTGTGTGTTTGTGACTGTGTGTTTGAAAGCCAGATTGTTGATCACTACTGGGGAGATGCATCCTTACCTGCAGGCCGAGCATGTGAATAAGCAGTTGTTGCGAAGCGATTCCTTGGTTCAGGTGGTCATTGAATACGTCACCCAGAATGAGCTCCCAACATATATAAATCAACACTTTCACGCACGATATTTGACACTTGACCATAATTCTTTGTTTTGAAGCAACATGCAGATCTTACCCAGACGCTCATGGACCCTCATATAGCAGGGTCGGACCCGAATGCTCTGGAGGGGTCTGGGGGTTCTCACCTGTTGTGAGCATTGCACTTGACACCTTGACATGGTGAACCGATCGTAGCTGCTTTTACTTAAGCGCCCAAGAAAAAGGGAGCGATCATTCGAGCGCCGCCATTTCGTTTGGAGCCGACCTTTCGTTGTGGTTTCGCTTTCAAGAGAAGAGTTTTTTGCAGAGCGGTTGTTTGCACACCTGGTCCATCAGACCAGGTTATGAGCCCAAAGGTTCATGCTGGAGCATAGGCGAAGACAGGCCACCCGGCAAGAGCTCGAACAGGGCCAAAAGGAGATCCAGGCAGCAGATGCCAGGATGAAGCGGGAAGCCAAAAAGAGAGGCGAACTTCCGATCGAAGACGCTAAGGTCGGAAAGGGAGGAAAAGCAAGCTCAGCGCCTGAAGACAAAGGGCATGATGTTGGCTCCACCCGATCGCCGACGGTCACCCTGCCATCCACCGAGGAAAGCGCCTCGGCTTCTAAGGCACCAGCAGCCTCAACTCCGAAGCCCATTGAGGATGAATCAGGTTTGCCAAAGCCGCCTGAAGAAGCACATGCCAGGACACCACAGGTTCTGGGACCGAAGGGTCATGAGAAAAGGGAGTCGCATGGTGTTGAAGTGATAGATGAGAACCAAGGTCATGAGATGATTGAAGCAGGTCCCCATGGTAGGACACCGGAATCACGTGCTGTGACCATGGCTCCACTCTTCACGCCTGAACAGTTGGAATCGTTGCACCAAGTACAAGCCCAAGCTCCATGGCTTTATGCTAGGTTGGAAACGCCACAAGCACCAGCATTGCAGCGGCCTTCGTTTCTTCCCTCCACTGACCGTGACTGGAGGGTGAGAAAGGAAGAAATGGACAGTAGAAGTTCTCAAGAGTTGATAGCCCATGTCCAAACTGCCGAAGCCGCAGAGAAAGAAGATCTTCTTCGCCACCTTCGACAGCTCACCTATGAGAATGGTTTGCTGAGGGATGAAGCTCAAAGAAGAATTCGAGAAGAAGTTGTGAAGCCACCAGCAGGTCTCCATGAACGACATGTTCAAACCCTGTTGGAAGAAAACCTTCGATTGCAGCAGGAGCTTCGTCGAATGTCCTCGATCCTGCCACCAGCCAAGGAAGACGACCCGATCTTTGCCACCCCGAATGGAAGCTCTGGTCGTGAAGAAGGAACTGGAGGCCGGGGGAGAAAGACACAACAAAGGGTCGAAGAAAATGATGGACGGAGGTCCCGTGAAGTTGATGATTCAAAAGGTCAAGAAAGCACCGCGCGCAAAGAGACAGACGAAGAGCCAGTAAAGAACAGTGGCACTGGGAAGGGCAGAGGATCAAAGAAGAAAGAAGTGGGAAGTGAAGAAGACAGTGTGCATCACCAGACCTTGCAGGTGATCTTGAAAGTTGTGGAAGGTATGCAGAAAATGCAGGATCGAATGTCAAAAGGATCCTCGACGGACTTGGAGAACGAGCCCGAGATGGTGAAGCACAATGTTGAGCTCCCCAAACTACCGGAATGGAATTGTGAGTCGGCGCCAATTGATTTCGCTGACTGGCTTCTGCTCCTAGCACCACTGATGGCTGACCTGACCTCAACGTCAGAAGAGTGGTGGAATTTGACCTTGGAGGAATCTCGCCAGTGGTATCAGCGCCACCTCACCAAGTCGCCCTTGGACCGGTTGACCCACCAGATATCGCCGAGTGCCAAGTTGACAACTCGCAAGTGGGCACGATTGGAGAAGCGAACTACAGCCCTACTCCTGTCTGCCATTCCAGAATCCCTTCGTGAAGAAGTTGTGTCGAGCAAAAGTTTGTCAACTTTTGGAATCCTGGTCAAAGGCATGATTGCCTACCAGCCTGGAGGCCTTTCTGAACGTCAGGCTATCTTAGCCGCCCTGGAGAATCCAATGGAGGCCACGTCAATTGGCCAAGCAGTCATGACACTCCGAAAGTGGCTGCGATGGCGGAGGCGGGCGGAGGAAGTGGGAGTTTCGATTCCCGACCCCACGATTTTGGCTCGTGGACTGAGCAAGCTGACAAAGAAGTTGGTGGTTGTTCACCCTGAGCTCAACTTCAGGCTGCAGCTTGTCCGCAGTTCGTTGATGGTTGATGCTGTCCCAAGCCATGATGCCATTTCGAAGTACAGTGAGCATCTTCTTGCTGAGCTAGAACAAATGGGGCAGCAATCCCGAAAGAAGGAGAACACCGTCGACTTGCCGAAGGTCAAGAAGTTTGAAGAACAAGCAAAAGAAACAAAAGAAAAGAAGGAGGCCAGGGACGGTGATGACAAAGAGAAAGGGAAGTGTCGGTTCTTTTTGACGGACCAAGGATGTCGTAGGGGGAAACACTGTGGGTTCTCTCACGACCAAAAAGACGACAAGAGACGCTGCTGGGTGTGTGGTTCACCAGATCACTTTGCACCGGCCTGTACAAGACCAAAAGATTCCAAAGAAAGCCCACCGAAGCCAAAGATCGCCAAGGCAGAAAAAGAAAAAGGTGGGAAGCAGAAAGGGGAAGAAGAAGGAAGTGATGATGTTCAACCGGCCATCAAAGAGCTTCTCAAGGAAGCCAATGACATGTTGCGAGGGATGAACACCACTCCATCCCCATCCTCTGCAAGCACCTCACAATCCGCAAAAGGTGGTGACTCTCCTGAAAGAAATGAAGTGGTGGAGAAGCTCCAACAGCAGCTCAATGCCCTCCGACAGAAGGCATTCCAGTTATGCCGGCTCAAGAAGGGGGAAAGACAGGGCTTGCTGGATTCAGGAGCGACGCACCCTCTCCGCCCAAGCAAGAAAGGTGAAGACAAGTCCACCTACCGTGTGGTTCAGGTCTCGCTTGCCGATGGACAAGTTGTTGACATGCCGATCTCCCCAGGAGGTTCCATGGTGTCAGATGACGATGACATTGAGCCAATAGTTCCGATGGGATTGCTCACTGAGGCCCTTGGATGCACGGTCTCCTGGTCAAAAGATCAGCTTCAGGTCCACCACCCTTGACGGGGAAGACTTCCAGTTGACCAGAAGGATGGATGTCCTCAGCTGCCTCGTGGTGTGGCCCTTGGTTTGATTGAGGAGATTGAGCAAGTGAAGAAAGGAATCAAGTTCAAGGAAGATGACAGTTTCCACGATGAAGTACAATGGATGAAGCATTTTGTGGAAGCCCATCCGGTGTTTCGCCGGCTTCCTGAAGAAATCAAGAATTCGCTGGTCGTGAAACCAGGTGAATGGTCCTCCCTACCGGCCAATCGTCGGAGGAGGAAAGCGATGAAGAGAGATGGGTTCATCTGCCACTTGTACGCCGGGGAGGAGGAAGGCTTCACTCTCCAAAGGGCATGGAAGCAAGTTGGTGGTGATGAGAAGGAGTTGCTCGAAGTTGACAAGAAAAGGGGTTCCGGTCACGACATGATCCTGAACACTGGCCCTTATGCAGGCCTACTTCGAGCTGTGTGGGAAGGAAAGCTGCTTGGCCTAGTTGGAGGCCCAAACTGCAGGACAAGAAGCGTCCTTCGACATCGTCAAGTTGAATGGACGGATGCAAGACCTCTTCGAAGATGGGGGGGTGAAGAGTTTGGCATTGCGGACGCAAGTCCGGAAGAAAAAGAAAAGTTGAAGGAAGATGACCAGCTGCTGTGGAGGATGATTTTCTTAGCTGCCTTGGACACGTATCTGAGACGTGCCAGAGGACTTGATGGACAGCTTGGATTCGCCCTAGAACAGCCAGCGTCACCGAAAGACTATGAGGCAGCAGTGGTATCATTTTGGGACACCCTTGAGTGGCATGATCTTCGAAAGGAGTTCGGCTGGATGGAGACGACCTTCAGTCAAAAGCCACTTGGAGGGGCTGCAGTGAAGCCCACTACGGTTGGTGGGAACCTTGAGCTAGCTCC